GCAACTTAGTCCCAGCATGTCTATGGCAGATGCTCCTTATAGGTATCCACACCTCTCATAGGAGCCTGCTGCATGTGATTTTAGTACCCCTGTGATGAAGGCACTGCTCCTTTTCAAAACTCTTCACCTCTGCTTAGATCATTCCCATTGGTCTCTAAAGTTGATTAGAAAATGTATGTGCAGGGCTGGAGGGCAGAGGTGGTGGGAGGGGAACCAAGGGCTTAGGTTTTAGTCTCTTGTCTTTTTCCTTCCCTTTCAGGTCCTGAGGGCTCCCTTTTCTACTTTATGAATTTGCCAAAAACAAGAGTAATATTCCCTCTCTCTCGACATTTAAACCAAAGGAGATTAATCATGTGAACCTGTGAAGTTCTTGTTGGAGGAGGAATGGTAAACCAATAGTCTCAGCAGAGTTGTAGTCCATCTTCTTGTCCCCAGCCTCTTGCTATTGTGGTACCATAAGAGCTTGCAGTGAAGCCAAGAGAGAAACCACGTAAGAGGGTGGGTTTGGTCAAAATGTTTGAGTTCCTCTAAAATTCCTATGTTGAAATTTAACTCCTAATGTGATATAGTACAAGGAGATGGTGTCACAGGAGAGTGGGGAGCTGAAGCGCCAAATTTTGGTTCTCGTGTCCCAACAAAAGAAATTTTAAAGTCAGACATGACAACTCAAGCAAGAGAATTGTATTGAGTGAAAATGAAGCAAAGAATGCACTCAAGACTCTCTGAACAAAGAATGACAAAGGAAACAATGTTGCTTCCAAACTTATTCCTGTTTGATGTTTGCCAGATGATGGTTCCATCTTCTGCAGTCATTGCCAATCAGATGTTTAATGCCTCTTTCACACTGGGTGGGAGAGGTTTTGACTGTAGTTGGTCCTCTCTGGAACTGTCATGGTGTTTACCCTATTCAGGGGGTCTCATCTACAAGTCAATTCTACATCCCAGCCCTCCCCATTGCTTTCCTGGTGGGTGTTATGATGCTGAGGATTGAAGGGCTGCTGCTTCTCAGGCCCAATTTGCTTTTAAAATAAAGTTCAGCCTCTGAGGGTGCTGGGTCAATAATCTGGCACTTTATCTGCCTGCACTATTCATGAAATTTCTTTTCTGAAATACATTGAGAAACTTATGGCCATAAATCCTAACTTTACAATGACCCCAAAAAGCACTATCAGGATTTAGTCCCACTGATTTTGCCTTCTTGACATATTTCTTAATTGACTCCCTTTGTTTCCATATGTTTATTCTCAGGGTTAGTGCACCTGTTGTTGTTCTATGAGTTATTAGATTGTTCATTAAAGACATTTCAATGAAACTCCAGGACCCTGCTATGTTTTTGGTTCACAATTCACTGCTCATTTCTAATTATTACCTAACAGAGGACTCTAAGGTAAGTGATTCCAACGCTTCAGGTAAAGCCCTCATAAAAGGAAAAAATTCCCTTATAAAGGGCTGAAAAGAACAGCCTCCTTTCCTTCCACCATGTGAGGATACAGTGAGGAGGGATTGTCTATGAAGAAGCAGGCTCTCATCAGACACCAAATCTAGTAGTGCTTCATCTTGGATTTCTCAGCCTCTAGAATTGTGTGAAATAAATTTCTGTTGTTTATAAGCTGCCCCAGTCTATGAAATTTTCTTATAGCAGCACAGACTAAAACAATGATATTCTAATGGTGAAATAAAATATATTTATAATTCTTGCCCCTAACATGTTTGCCAGCTTTTTGTTTCAGTCAGTAATGTATCTACAGAAAGAAAAAAAAAACAATCAGAATGACCCCAGGTCACTTTTTCTTTGGTCAGCAGAAAGTTAAATATAATTGCTTTGCCATAACTATTAGATAGCAAGGAGAGGGTGATGAGGTTAGTGGATAACCTACTTTATACCCCGACAAGTGTAGGATTAGCTGTTGTGGCTTACTCATTTATTAGCATCAGATTCTGGGTAATTGCTATTATATTTCCAAAGAACTTCTCTATCTGCCTTTACAATATCACCCCTTTCAAGGAAGTTCTTAGTGGAGGAAATAAAAAATTCAAAAGTGGCCAAGTATGGTGTTACACTCCTATAATCCCAGCTACTCAGAAGGATGAGGCGGAGGATTTCAAGTTTGAGGACAGCCTGGGTAACTTAGTGAGACCCTTTCTCAAAATAAAAAAGATTTGGGGATGTCTTTTGTTGGTTATAGTTCTCCCGAGTTCAATCCCTAGTGCCACCAAAAAAATAAAAAATAAAAAAATCCAGATGTGGGAAGATAAACATGTATACTTTCAAGGGTGCATGAAACCTTTAAAGTACGTTAGGAAGCACTGAGAGACTAATAAATAGTCTGCCAGATTGTCTCTCTCCTGCTTAAAACCATTCAATGTCTCCCCATTGCCAGCATAGCCTTGAATCATGTTAATTTCCAGTCATATTAAGTCCAACAAAAGACAACTATTCAAACAAATAGTGGTATATCTATTTAAAAATGATTATATCATTACTTAAAACTGTGTTATGAAAAATGTTTAATGACATAGAAAATTATCAATATATTAAGTGGGGGTTAATAACAGTATAAATAATACAATTTATGCATTATCATGTCAAAACACACCAAAATCTTAATGAGTAATTTGAAGAATTTTGAGTTTTTTCCCTTTTTGTGCTTTCTCAAAATTTCAGCATTTAATAGGTGTCACTTTTGTAATTCTAAGTAAAATCAATATTTTTTTTTAAAGGAAGGTGTTAAGCATGACTGACTAGTTGTTTAGAACTCATAGTATGTCTGCATTTGTGGAATCAACACATGTTGAGAGGTTTATTCTCAAATTTTAAGTTTAGAAACAAAATTTGACTACTGCACTGAAAAACTGATAAAAAGTGTTAAGATTGGATCCCTAATCTCAACTCCAATTACTGTTTGTAAGGTCCTTGCTTAGCATCTGGATGGCCATCTTAAGTGACAGCCTCCATCTTAAGAAAAAGTTTCCGGTGCTTCTGAGAAAAGCTCACCATTCCCTCATACCAAACCAACCCTTCACCACCTGCATTCTTTCCTGCCCAAGGGAGTATCACCACTCCTTCATACCAACCCCACACTTAACCACTTGCATTAGGACCTGCTCTGCTCTAATCCCTGAGTCTGCCCCATTAAGTCAAGGAACCCTAGCATGTATAGCCTCTCTCCATCTATGGAGAGATGGCCTTTATTTGTCAGCTGTGTGTGTCTCTGCCTGGTGTCCGTCTTTCATTTCTCATTTGCCTGGCTCCAGGTTCCTCATTTTCCTTTCACTGTTGTCTATAGTCTTATTTGCCTGTAGAATAGATTCCCTTAAATCTAATTACTTCTTCAAATAATTTAACTTTTCTAAGGTTTTCAAAGCAAAGCATGAAATTCTCAAAGAATGCATATACTAGCTGTGTAGGGAAGAACAGCATTTTAATTTGCATTTGAATTTTTTTTTTCTAGTAACCATGATAAGTTCACATACTTTTTACTTAGTCTATTTTATTTGGCTGTAACTTTTCCAGAAAGTAAATTCCTTTTGAGTGAGAGAAAGAAGCAGGGATCTGGGAAAACTTTAGAAGTTAGGAACAAGGTTCTGCTGCAGGAGCTTTCTAAATGGTCTCTTCATTTCCCCTTCTGACCCCTATCCAATCAGCTCACCCCACGGGAACCAAAATGATCACTTAGAAACTTTTATCAGATCATGTCTTTCTCCTGATGAAACCACCGGATTTTGTGGCTCCCAAAGCTTTTTTTCTTTTTGGAACTGGGGGTCGAACCTAGGGCTTTGCGAATGCAAGGCAGATGCTTTGTCACTGAGCTACATTCCAGCCCTCCCCATTGCTTTCCTGGTGGGTGTTATGATGCTGAGGATTGAAGGGCTGCTTCTCCCCAGGCCCAAGTTGCTTTTAAAATAAAGTTCAGCCTCTGTAATGATGGATAAGGCTGTTATACAACCCCTTTCACTCCTGAGTAGCCACGTGGGTCTCCCCTTTGTTTCACAAATATCCCACGTTGTTTCCTCTTCAGAGCCCTTTTCTCAGAGCATCACACACTTGTTTCTTCAGAGTTTAGCTCAAACACCACCTTCTATGACACGATTTCCACTCCTCCCCATCCCATTAATCCTGTTTTATTTTCCTAGAGCACCTATCACAGCCTGAAATCTTCATCATTTGTTGGTTCACACGTCCAGGCTAGAACGTCAGCTCCGACGGATGCAACCCTTTATCTCCAATGGCCCCATCCTCTTGCTGATCAGAGGCCGCCTGTTATTAGTGGAACCAAGGCGACCTATCCTGCAGGCTCTCTGTGCCCTCTTTTGTGGTGAGGGGACTAACTAGTTGAATGCTGCGAGCACGCTGAAGTATAGCCAGCCAGCCACAAAGCCACATTCTTAAAGAAGCCAGCACTTCCTAGCAAAGGCATTTCTAGAAGCTCCAGGGGAGGAGGGCTGAGCCGGGAATCAAGGAGCCAGAGGTGGAGGAGTGGCGAAGGTATTGGGTGCAGCGCAGTCTTCCTAAACTCCGGAGCATTGAAGGCCTTAATGGTGCCGTACAGGAGAGGCGGATATTGAAAGAGTTTCTTTTTCGTTCTTTTGAGACAAGGAACTGATTTGAGAAAAAGGACAAGAAACCGGAAAAGAGAAACCAGACACCGATATGCCCCGCAGCTCTGGGGAGGACTCTAGGGAAAACCCCTAAGAAACGACTCCAGTCGCCTCAAGTGCCACCCGCTGCAGACGGGTGGACGGATTGGAAAGCGCTCAAGAAGATTTCAAAGCACTAAATGTACCTGATGTCTTTCCCTGAAGTTTAATTAAAAAGAAAACAACAACAACAACAAAAAACCCTCAAAAATTTTTTAAAAAGTCTACATTTATGGAGAAGACGGTCGGGAGTCAAGTCCCGAGATTCCCGCCCCTCCGGCCTCCCAGGCCAGGCCTTTGGTTGGGCGGAGCGTGTCCGCTGACGCCGCCGGGGCGGAACTGCGCAGGCGTCGCGCGGGCTCGCGGGAGGCGTCGCGCGGCGGCCAGTTCGCGCGGGAGCGGGGCGCCTAGGCCCCTGGGCTGCAGGTCGCTGGGAACGGAAGCCGCCGCGGGACGGCGAGGAAGCCAGGATGGCGACCCCAAGCAGGAAAACAGCGAATCCGAGCCCCCTGGCTTCCAAGAGGGCTTTCACGAGAGATCCTTCCTCGGAGGTCCCGAGCAAGAGAAAGAATTTGGCCCCGCCACCGTCGTCGCTGCTGCAGTCGTCCGGGCCTTTTGTGGAGGGCTCTATAGTCCGCATCGCGATGGAGAACTTCCTGTGAGTGGCTCTGAGGCCGCGCCGCTGCAGGGCACGCCAGGTGGCCCGCAAGCCGGGGCGGGGAGGGGGGCGTGTGGGTGTGTACCTGGCCTGAGTGCCCCGGAATTCAAGCCAGGCTCCTCTGGAGGGTTACTCTCCTAGGCCGTGGAGACTGACGTGTGTTGCTGTTGGGATGTGTCTTGTGTGTTGTTTTATTCATTCCGCCAACGTTTTTTCGAAGGCGTCGTATGGCAGTCAGTAGATATTAAGTGACTAGGTCTCTGCCTGCTGGGACTCGCGATCTAAAGAGGACTTAGTCTGCAATTCTGAAAAGTATTGCCCTGGGAATTCAGAGGCAACAATTATATCAGAGTCACAGTGATGTGTGGCAGATTTTTTGAAGTATAGGCATTAGCACGGTGGACAGAGTAGATAAGATGGTAATGTTTGTGCTGGATGGGGGTTTAGAGTGTACCAAAAAATAAAACCTTACCCAGTTGCTGTACTTTCCTATAGACCCTTGACTCCTCCAAATCCAGCTCTCTTCCTTGGATCCTCATCTCTTCTTTTAGACAACTAGTTATCATTTTAGAACCTAAATATGTTGTAACAAAAATATCATGTATCTAGCGCGTTACAGTTCATTTTTAAGGCCTTTTTGTTGTTGTTTTCTTTTTCTTTTTTTTTTAACAAGCTTACCCATAATGGCATAGAGTCACACATTGTTGTAACAATACCACGATTTTTTCCCCCAAGCACTTATTTGCCAGGTACAGAACTAGGTGTTCTATTGATTCATTGCTATTTATTTCTCCCTAACTATATCTTACAATCTTATCTGAGTTAAACGTGGAGAGGTTAATTTTGCCCAGGTTTACATACCTAATAAGGAGCTGAATTGCTGTTTGAATCCAGATCACATAAATGTAGTCAAGTAGGTAGAATCCATAATAATATGTATCAGGATGCTATGTGGTCACAAAGGATGTAGTGGTTAATTTCATCCACAACTGTGAGAAAGAGCTTTGTAAAGAAAATATGAAAATCTTTAAATGAAGGAAAGAGCATTACCGGTAGAAGGAACTGCTTGAAAAAAAGTTTGGAATATTTTAGGAAGTGTCAAGTATTTCAGTATGACAAGGATGTGAGTGAATATGTATGTAGATAAAGATAGGCAATCAATGAGTCTCTGTATTTTTACCATGCTAAGAAATTTCTCTTGTAGACAGTCCAGATGTGTTTTAAGCAGGGTATGGTGTAGTTTCTGTTAATCTGGTAGCAATATGAAGCATGATTTATTTAGAAAGGATACAAGATTGGAGGCAACAAGACTTTTTCAATCTAAAGGCAAGAGATAAGAGTTTGAACATAAGTAGTAACTGAGCTAAAAGGAAGAGATTGGCAGGATCTGGCTACACATTGTGAGGAAAAGGAAGGTGGAGAGAGGAGTGCAGTCTTTCCCAAAGTCCCTACCTTGTCTTACTAGTGTGGTGCAATTCAGAAAAGGGAGCAGTGTTCGAACAAATAATACATACCTCTTAGGTCCTGTGACTTAAAAGTTTCCTGTGGGATGTCTAAGAGAACTCACAAAATTATGAACAGGTCAAAGATTTGGGAATCATGCCTCTAGATAATTGGTTGAGATTACAAAGATTTTTGAGATTGACCAAAACAAAATATAAATTAGAGGAATAGAAGACTTTACATCTACTGATGAAAGAAGATCTTAGGCTGAAAAGGAACTATTCAGGGAGTTAAAGTGAGAACTATGGGAGCTAAGGCAAAAGAATGTTTCATCTGCCACATTGAAGTCACACAACAGGATTGAAAAGAGCCCATTGCACTTAACAATTAGGAAGTCCTTGACCATTTGATGAAGCATTGGAAAAGAAAGCAGAAGAATGAATGAGGAATGAGGAAGTAAAGGTTGGATTCAAAGTGAAAGAAAACTGCTTGTAAGGTACAGAGCTAGGTGAGATTTTGTTTATTTTAATGATGAGAAGGCTTTGAATTTTAGGAGTGAAGTAGGAAGAGGTAGGCTGAGAGAATTAGTAAAAGAGTAGAAGGGATAGACTTAGAGAACTCAAGTGACCTGGAAAGAGTAGAGAGAGGTTCCTATGAGTGAAACAAGACCAATGGAAGTGGGAATAGAAGGAGAGATATCTAGGTTGAAGAAATAGAGTACAAAGTCTTAGAGGAGGAAGCATAAGCTTGTCAAACAACTGAAGAATTACATTATAGGTAGAATTTAGAAGTCTTAGTAGAGACTAGAAAAAAGTGGAAAGATGAAGCAAGGACTAAATTACAAAGGGTCCTTTGTTCCTTTAATTTTTTTTAACAAGTGACATATTTGCATGTCTTCCAACAAGACCTAATGATTGAGTGATTGGGAGGTGGGGACAAGTGTGGGTAGAAGCAAGAAATGAAAGAATGAAAGGTGATGTAACACAAAATGCCTAGGTTTTTGTTACAGAAATGAGATAAATGATGAAACTGTTTACTAAGTGACCACAAGAGTGGTTTGGGATGGGAAAGATAATGTGTTAAGTTTAAGGTGATTTTTATGGGACATCCAAATCGAGTTACTGAGGAGGAAATTTCATATTTAAGCCATCTGGGCTGACATCCCAAAAGTAAAATGCTACCTGAGACCATGAAGAATACTTATATGAAATGCTAACAAAGTCTGTTGAATGAGGAGAGAGTGGGCCTTTGACAATAGGAGGATATCAGAGAAAAGGAGATTCCCAAGAGAGTCAAGGATTTTTTTTTTTTTTCCTTGAAGTACTAGGGATTGAACCCTGGGAATACACATGCTAGGCAAGTACTCCACCACTGAGCTACATTCCTAACCTTTTGTTAAAGATTTTCATTTTCTTTTTTATATTTAGTTATTTATTTATTTTTGGTATCAAAGATTGAACCCAGGGGCACTGAACCACATCCCCAGACCTTTTTTGTATTTTATTTAGAGACAGGGTCTCACTGAGTTGCTAAGTGCCTTGCTAAGTTGCTGAGGCTGGCTTTGAACTCCCAATCCTCCTACTTCAGCTTCTTGAGTCGTTGTGATTAAAGATTTTATTTTGAGACAGGGTCTGACTGTTGCCAGAGTTGGCTGATGATCCTGCCTCAGTCTCTCCAGTAGCTGAGGAGCTGAGATTACAAGCAAGCCTCACTGCACCTGGCTCAGAAGAATGAATTTTAAAAGTGCAGAAGTTTTGTTTTTGGCAAGTTACTTACTTGTAATATCTCTCTATTGTAGACTAGAAATTCTCAAGCTTTTCCCTGTTGTTTTTATTGTTAAATATCAGTTGTATCACTATTTTTGTATGATATTTGCACAGAGATTTCACAGCAGGGAATTCAGCTATTAAATGAATGGGGCTTTTATGTGTTAAGAGAAGTTCTATGTTGAAAATTTCCTGAATGTCTGAAGTTGCCAAACTCTGTTATTTTAATCGTAATAAGGTTTCATCTAAGACCCAGCTGCTAACAAAACAAAGCATCTGAAAAGATAAAGTAGATGCTATACTGAGGTATGGGGTTAGAAAGCATTAAAACAGAAATGTGATCAATTACGTTACTTACATACTTGACACATTAGTAGCAAGCTAAGCATTTTTTCTTGGGGAATTAGTTGGAAGCTATATCTGAGAGATAACTGAAATATTGCAGGCAAAAGATATTTATGGGTTCCAATTCAGGTTATTCAAAGACAAGTTAGAAAATGTTGGAGTCAAAGTTTACTTCACATTTTGCCAAAGCTGGCAACTCCTAAGGATTAGATACTACTGCAAGTAGAGACTTTATGATATGAGAGAATATTACAAACATGCTTGGTGGTAAAGCATTCTTGCTTTCTCCCATAGGAATAAAGATTATTCAAACATAGATTCTTTGGTAAATCTTATGGGAGCATATTTAAAAATAAATGTTATTTTTAAAAATTTGACAAGTCATTGGGTTGATGTATCTTTTTAATTTAAATAGAAATAATTTGGTTGGGTTTATTTCAAAATTAAAATATAGTAAGTAGCCATTAAGCATTTTAATTCAAGAGAAATATAAATATAAAATTAGAAAATCCATATCCTTTCATAAAATTTGTGTAAAAGTTATTTGTACAGCTAGGCACCATGGTAGCTTACCAAGGCCTTAAGCAACCTAGGGAGGCAGGCCCTGTCTTAAATTTAAAAAAGGGGTTGAAGATGTGGTTCAGTAGTTAAAAGCCCCTGGATTCAATCCCTGGTAGCCCCCCCCCCAAAAAAAAATAATTTCTTTAGTAGCTTTGATATAGTTACCATGAATTGTAATTATTTTGAAAAGGATGAATTATATTATCCTTTAACTTTTTTGGAAATATTTTGGGAGGTAAGTACCAAGGATTAAACCCAGGGGTATTCTAACATTGAACTACATCCACAGCCCTTCCTTCCTTCCTTCCTTCCTTCCTTCCTTCCTTCCTTCCTTCCTTCCTTCCTTCCTTCCTT